GAGTGTATTCTGGTGCAACCACTATGGAAATCAGTGTGGAGATTCCTCAAAGAGCTACGATCCAGGTCCCATTTGACCCAGCTATTCGCCTGCTGGGTAATTCCAAAAGAATTAGAAGCATTATACCTCAGCACTCACTGGTCACTGTGAGGGTCTTAATAAAAAAGAGCTGTTGGCACAGAACATGCGATGTGTCTGGGGAAAATTAATGAAGACCTGAGATAGTTAACAGAGGTGAAAATTTAAAATCTATTGAATTATAATGAGCTCAATGGCCTCAGATTTCCTGGTGAACTGTGTAGGGAGCAAAAACTCAGAATAAGTGTAAGAGGAGGAAGCAATGCCCATAAAGAGGGTAGCACTTGACCCACAGAGCACAGAAGATGGCCAACAAGTGTCTGAGTTATCTGTCTACTGAATGACCCAATAGGCGCCTGTGTGAACAGGGCAGGCAAAGAGCGAGTCAGTGGGCCCTGGTATACGATGGTAGGATCTTTCTGTTGCTTCTTATGGCTTCTATCTCCACAACCCACTCCTCCAAAGCCTCAGGCACTCATAGGTGGGGCTTCCTGGAGGTAGCTGGGTTATAGGTGTATGGTAGCAGATTATGGGTGTGATAAACACATTAGTCCACTGATTGGCTTAGCATAGTCCTGGATGATGGGGTTACTAAAGAGGGAAGCTCCACCCTGGGTGGGCGGAGCACCAATTAATAAGCTTGTACCCCTGGATACAACATAAAGGGAAATAAGACAGGCTCACTGCTTCATGCCTCCTGCTTCCCTTGCTATGCACTATTTCTCCTCCGCTATTCCCCTCTGCCATGCCACCCTGCCTTGGAGCCAGCCAACCATGTATAGCAATCTCTCACACTGTGATCTTTCCTCCTTTAATGTGTGGGTGTCAGGTATTTTGTCCCAGCAGAGAAAATGACTGTGACTAAGACATTGCTCCTGTGTTGGTTGATACAGGGTGGGAACCAGATTAAATCATATGAAAAAAAGACTGGGATGGAAGTAGCATACTGACAAGAGTGCCATTGAAACAAGGGATCATGGACTAGTAGCTGGCAAAAAAGAGATGTGAAAGGAGACTTTCATAGAGTGGGAAAATCAAGTCAGCAGATGAAGTGATTGTCGGGAAACTTGGACTGAGGTGATCGTGTATAAGACTGTCATGCCTGAACTCACTGAAGGGCATGCCAAGATGGTGAAGAGAAGAAAATCATAGGAACAAAGAGGACAGCACCAAGGTCAGTGGCCTTGGTGGTCACGGTGGCCAATGGAACCACATAGCAGTGGCTGTGCTGGAGTGAAGAAAAAAGGCCATGATTCTCCAAAAGCCCTGACATCTGGGTAAGTGACTATGCCACTGGTTACCTATGTAGAGCAGGAGCTGAGAACCTCACTGTCTCTTACTTACTCTGGGATGCACGGTGTTTTGCTGTTCATTTAAAATGAGCACATGTTAATTTGTAATTGACAGCAAACATAAATCTGGGGAAGAGACAATAGCAAAATAAAGCCAGAGACAGGAGTTTACAGTTTAAAAGAAATCATTAATTAAAAAAGCAATAACATGGTTGCCTAGCATATGCAGTGCAAAACTCTGGGTTCAATCCTAGCATAGAGGAAAAAAAAAGCATCAGCAATAAATATTGCCTGAAGCAGTATTTGCTGAGTGTCACATTGGAACAACTACTTATATCACTTATATTTTTCTTTGTAGTCACACACACAATGCACATATATACATGGTAGGTCATCTGGGTTTTACTGAAACCTGTAACAAGACTCCACAGCACCTGCAGTGAGACACATCTGACAAGTCTCACCAACTCACCAGACACAGAATGGCCGGTGGCCAGTTCTTGTCATCTATGAATTCTGACCCCTCAGCGCTGCCAGAGACCATGTCCACATTCTCAGGCAGGAATCAACAGCATAGTTTCTTCTGTCTTTGCCCTTGAAAAAGCCACAATTCAAAAATTTTTATAGAACACAGTTATATCAGGACTAGAACTAAAGCTAATTCTGGAGGGGCCCTAAATTGATAGCAACCCCTGTGCTTACACCCACAGAGAGCCAAGTACACAAAATAAGCCTTGAAAATAGAGTGTTTAATGAGATTTTAAACAAAAATACGGTGGTAAGGAGTTAATGAACCAATGTGAAAGAAAACCCCCCAGGATCCAAGTGACACACATGGCTGAGCACAGGCCTCCCAAGGCTTGACTTCACAGGGGCAACAAGGGACCTCTGCATATCCTCAGCCATACCTGGTATCTCACAGGACAGGGAGGCAATCCAACAGACAATGCCTAGATGCTCTTCTTCACAGCTTTCCTCAACACAAATGTGTAAGCTCTCCCATCCAATGTGAACTGTGGGTGGTGCATGGCTGTAATCCCAGCCCCAAGCTGGGGGCAAGAGGCTCTCTCAAAAATCAAAAACCAGAAACAAACAAAAAACAAAAAGACCCATAAACTGTGGCAGCAACACTGTGATGGAGAGGTCAAGCCCTGCTATTTACCTGGCACAACTTTTCTGCAGCCACAACTTCTGTGCCCTTAGTCCTTGGCACGGCCCTTCTTGTTCATCCAGTCATTGTGTTGCCCTATTGCTTGCCCTGACCCTCTGCTGCTAGCTGCATACACGCTCAGTGCCTTGCAACTGCTGGCCATTTCCACTGGATCTGGGCTGGCTGTTCCCTCCTCCTTTGTACGCATCCAAAGAATTTGAGTAAGGAGCCTTAGAGGGATGTGAGGTGAACTTTGAGCATCATGCGGTACTCTGCTGAAAGACACTTTGTAAGTTCCAATGATAACACATCTTCAACGAAGAACTAAGTATTCAGAAGAGGGTTTAACATCTGCTGCATCCTCACTGGCTTTGGTGGTATCATGATGTTGAATGAATGTGCAATTTCTCACCTATTTTTTCTGAACTTTCAATTCTAAAATTAAGTGAATTTAAACAAGAGGACACTAATAAAGTTCTATTTTCATGCATGTTTACAAAAAAAGATTGACATAGAATCTCGGTCACCTACTCTATTTTTACTATGGTAATTGCTCTAACTTTAGAAAGCCCACTCCAAATAAAAGAATTGGAAGTGCTGTTTCTCAAAGATATGTGGAGGAAGATAAGGCTATTTTATTGAAACATTTAGAATGGTGGCTGTAGGTCTGGAGATGTAACTCAATGGCAGAAAATCCACCTAGACCTGGGTTCAATCCCCAGTAACAGAACATAGAAATGATGGCTACACGTGGTTTTATTTTATCAATTCTAGGTTCAAAGTTAAGCAGCTTTTCCTCCTGGGAAGGAAGCAATCACTGGACAACTGTTGTGGTCTTGGCTGGGTAGCCCTCTCCACAGATCCTGATATGAAGACAGAGGAGAAAGGCAGAGTGAGAAAGAGAAGGTTTCAACTTTCGAGGCAAATGGAGACAGAAGAGAGCTGGCAAATCCTTCACTTGCCCCATGAGGGCAGTGTGACTGCTATGTAATACCTTCTGTTCTACTGAAGACATGTGGACCTTTTTCACTGAGCAGAGAGGGGTCTGCTGGCATGCTCTTTCTAAGGACTTGTACAGAAGTTTGAAGGGGATAAGATAGTGGGTATTCAGAGAAGGGGGATATAGTGCTCACTTCGGAAGCACATATACAGAGAAGGGGGACATGGGCTGGAGCCACTGAAACACCAGGACTGGGTTCTTCGATTCCACGTGTACGTGGGCAGAAAATCAGTTCTCATACATTTGAACATATTTGGGATGATAGCAAAAAAATACACAAGAAATAGCAGTAAAATTATCTTTTGATTTCAGCTTCTTAAAAACCTATTTCTTCATCCTAAACTATGACTTCAGGAATCTCCACACTTTATAGTGGCTATCTGGAATAACAAGAGATACCTGACATTTTTATCTATACTTTAAATCAACTTTAAACTTAAGTAATGTGCTATAAAAATGTAAAATAATTAAATAAGACAACACTCACCTAGAAAATTCAAAACTGCATAACATAATTATCTAATACCAACAGTATTACCGACTTCAAACAAATTTTACAATATGAATATTAAATATAACTCAGAAAGTCAAAAAAGAGACAAAATATACTCAAGAAATAATATGTGCTATTTTCACTATAACAGAAATGTAAAATTAATTTCTGCTTCAAAAACTGCAAAAACTAGTCTCTGGACTAGACTTGTCAGAAAAACGGATGGCCCAACACACGCAGAGCTGCTAAGAATGCAAATGACAAATAAAAACATTCAGTAAAATCCATGACTAGTACCATGATACTCCAGAGGATGAGGCTCAAGACTGTCCTAAGCCTCCACTTTCTCGGCTCCCACTGAGCATGGATTGCCAGTAACCATACCACAGCTGTCTGCCCTGCTTCAGTGTTTGTGCAGTCTTAGGTTTTTAGCTAGTCACATGGCCATGCAAAAGACAGACCACTATGCCAGCCTGCTTAAGGCCAGTGCTCCAGTCAATGCAGCGAAGACACACCAGATGTGTGTAACTTGTGGGTCATATTATCTCATCCATGCCCCCAGCTGGAATGCAGATGAGGTGGGTGACACATCCCCTCTGAAATTGCAGATGAGGCTGCACTCTCAGGATGGCAAAATAACATGACAGAACATCACTCAGTTCCTGATGTTACCAATCAACGTCACCACACTGACTCACACATTTAGGTCTTTTGTTTAGTGTAAGCCACTATCACTATGTCCTTGACATATGCTAACAAAACAGTATATTTTAATCTCCTCAGGTTCCTCGGCTATCCTGTGGGGTTAAACATAATTCTTAACTCCCAGATTACTGTAAGTATCAGTCAATCCACCAGGCTCATCTGGAATAACTCACTTCATACACTGCACATTCTCATGGGCAATTCTAAAATTGCAAGTTATGGAGTTCTGTAGGGACCTGACCATAAATGTCAGGCTGGTGAGTTCTGCTGGCTGTGACTTACAGGTCACGAGTGACAGTGCACTGGCTGTTCTCTCTCTCAAGCTCCTGACTAAAGGCGTCACATCTTTTCCAGCCATCTTCGGTTTTAATCCAACTCCAACCTGGAGATCTCCAGTCCTGCCCCAGAAATGGCATTGTTCTCCTACAAAAAAGGTAATTTGCATTAAAAATATATATGTAAAAATTAACAAAAGATTCCTTTCATTAAGAGCATTTTTTCATTGATTTTAAAAAAATTTCCTACTTAACACTGTGTTATCTGCTCACCATTAATGTTGGCTAACAATGGATGGTGAGACAGTGCTGATGACACAGTACTTTTGTCACAACAAAGTGATAAAATGGGATGAGTACTCAAGATACCATGTATCAGGACAGCTTACCAGAGCTGACATCTAAACTTCTGCCTAAAGAGCAAGCAAGAGTCACAGAGTCATTCTGAAGAGTGCATTCGATGCTACAGATCCTAGGCAACATATCTGGAAATGCACTTATATTTACCAGCACTAGGTAAGTCACATGGGACAGGGCTTACCAGGAGGAAGTGGCCATGAGAAGGGAGAAGACATGATGACCAGATAAGGCAGAGGAGTCAGGCTCTATTCTGAGATCAATGAGAGGACCAAGAGACTGAAAGGTTAAGAGCTTTGATCAGACTTGAGCTTTACAAGGAACTCAGGCTTGCACTGAGGAGAACAGAGAGCTAGAGACAGGCACTGGAGGCTACTGAGTGGTGACTTTCAGCGGGAGGGACACTGGGAGGTGGAGCAGACCGCACTCTGGGATGGGCTGGCTTTATGGAGAAGGGCATCCAGATTCTTACTGCAAAAGGTTTAACAGGCTTGTGCAAGGGGTGAGGGGTAGAAGTTGATTTCCATTTTGGACATGCTATTGTTTGATATACTAAAATCCAGTTATGGAAATTATGACATAAAAATGATGCTACAAAGTGGTCATGGTGACATGTGCCTGTCATCCCAGCTACTTGGGAGGCTGAAGCAGGAAGGTCTTGAGGCCAGCCTGGTAAACTTAGGGATACCCTGTCAAAAATAATGCTGGGGATGAAGCTCAGTAGTAGAGTGCTTGAGGTGCATTCATGAGGCACGGAATATAATCTGCAGTGATGAAAAAAAAGAAAAAACAAAAAAGATGCAGTAGATATTATACCCTCATGAAACTTATTTACAATTTGATAAGACTGAGACCTCAGATACTAGCTCTTCCCACTGACTGGAATTCTGTTTCTCTTAGGTCAGTGATTTGCAACTGATAAAATACATTGACATCAGTCTGGAAATCTTTAAACATACAAGTACATAGCCCTATCCCAGACCAATTAAAAATCAGTTAATTGGGAGTGAGGGCTAACACTGCAGATTCAAATGCCCCCTCCCACAAAGCCTTCTCTGACCACCCTGTGCAAATGCTCCCTTCTGCTGTCTGGATCCTCAACCCACACTGATGAGTTATCTAGTGTGTGCATCATAACAAGGGCTATCTGGAATAATTTGTTTTTACCCTCTGTTCTCCTCCAAGAAAATACAACAACTTGTCCAGTTCTATATCCCAGTTAACTTGAACAAAGCCAAGTACCCATTTATTTATTGAATGAATGAATGACTGCACAGGTCCCATGGCTCAGAAAACAAAGGCTAGAAAGTAATACAAGAAAACACCAGTATTAAGAGCAATCACAAGAATGGGGATTTAGCTCACAAGTTCCGGCACCTGCCTTGCAAGCCCAAGGGCCTGAGTTCAATCCCCAGTACAAAAAAAAAAATCCATGGCTCAGAAAACAAAGGCTAGAAAGTAATACAAGAAAACACCAGTATTAAGAGCAATCACAAGAATGGGGATTTAGCTCACAAGTTCCGGCACCTGCCTTGCAAGCCCAAGGGCCTGAGTTCAATCCCCAGTAAAAAAAAAAAAAAAAGAGCAACCACGAAATCAAAATAATCTGAGTATGCAGCAGGCCAAAGAAAGACCCTAAGGAACACCAACCAATCAGGGCAAAGTTGGTGAAGACAAGCAAAGAAAGGGAAGTTGGAAAGGAGGAATGGGAGGTACAACAGATGAGGGCAAGCAGATGGAGATAAGCCAGGAGAGACAACTGGAAAGGCAGGGAGAGTAGGTAGACGGAAATCAAGAGAAGAATATTTAAAGAATGCAATGATCAACATAAGAGAATCCAAACATGTTAGAAGTTGAAAAAACAGACGTTGTTTGAGTTGAGCTAGGGAAAAGCAGCAGAAAACTTGCTCAAAAATAGTTTTGGTGGAGCAATGTTTTATGACTTGCATGTCCGAAGTGTACCTGGAATGGCTGGTGTACAGCTCAGTGGTACAGCTGGCCTAGCCTTCATGAGGTCCTGGGTTCAATCCCTAGCACTGCAAAACAACAAAAGCACACACACACAAAGAAGAACTGAGGTGTCTCATGGTACAGAGTATAGTATCAGAGTACTTAAGAAATTCAAGAGTCTATATCTCAAGTGTCTAAGTGCCACCAATTATTATTTTGGAATATTTTTATTCCAAAATAAATATATTTAAGTAAAAATAATATTTTTAATTAATAAAAACGAGGCTATCAAGTGGTCATTAACACTATCTTTGAAGAGTCCAAAATGATTCAGAAAAAAACTATACAGACTTCAACATGGCTCAATACCAGATCTCAGTTCCTACACCAGTATGCAAAACATACACTGAAGTAATTTTCTTTACATCTAGAAGGTCTCATAACCTTGTTAAACTAATTTGTGCTCAGAACATTTTTTTCAGGCACATGTCTTTAAATTCTTGCTCTAAAAGATACTTTAAAAATGAACTTTATAGCTTAGCACATTGTGGTGAGTCTTGGCTTATAGACCTACTTCACAGATAGAGACCACTGCAAAATGTGAAGACCACTGCCCATGCCCAGACAATCCATGATTCTCAACAACATTCATATGTAAGCCACAAAACACTCCCACAAGAGAAGCAGGAGGAGACAATGCCTGCTTCCCATGCAACTGCAGTCTCATCAGATACACGTTACAGAAACATGGTTGTAGGGACTGTCTGCCTACGGGGAATGGAGAAGGGGACATTCTCAGAGACCTCCGCAGTGGGTCCTGGTCTCCTATGAGGCAACACAACACGAAACCAATAGGAATGAAGAAAGAAATGAAACTTAGAAAGCTGGGTCTTGAGGCTGAGCAGTGCTGGGTAACAAAGACAAAGGCTCCCGAGGACATTCAGTATTTATTGATTACAAGTATGAGAAGAAAGTGAGAGCAGGGTATGCTTTGGATACATCTAGTAATACACGGTGTCAAACGCCTGGTATGGTGGCGCCAAGCAAGGCTGTAAGGGAGGAGACACTGCTTATCTTGCTTGGATAGAACAAACAGGTACTGGGACTGGGTGCAATTAACCAGCAACCCATTGGGTCAGTGAGAAGCCATAAATCAGGAAAGGATTTTAATTGGGGTCATGCTGACCTCAGCTGCATGTAACTCAGCAGTTGACACTTCAGTCTGATACTTCACAGACCAGGTCTTAGGTCTCTGTGGCAGCCATTGGGAGAGGAGCCATACTCAGTCCATCATCTGACATGACTGTGAGTCACATGGGGAGACACTATGCCTCCCAATTTAGTATACTTATCTCCTGGCTTCAAAATTGATCTTGACAGTATTGATGCAAAATAAAGAGCCACTGTGGCATTTCTAATAATATAACCAATTTATTTTTGCAACTCTATACATACTTGTAAACTTGGTGGGAAATATAGTCTAGTCTGAATTTTTTGTTTTTGTTTTTTGGATTGGCAGGAGTGAAATGTAAAGAATGGATCATGGAACTAGAATAAGCTCATGCCCCAGGTGTCTCAAAAGAGAAGAACAGATCTGTTCCTCTGTAGAAGTGTATATTTCACAGATTTGTCGTGGTATGCTCTTAGAATCACACTGAGTTTTATTTTAAAGTATAATGTGTAGAGTTCATGAACTAAGAGACAGACTCTAGAAGTTGATTTATGTAAAAACAATAAAAGGGGTGAAATTTAGTGATAAAGTGTTGGCCTAGCATGTGTGAGACCCTGGGTTCAATTAAAAAAAGAGAGAGAAGATGCAATTTAAAAGCCCTTTCGAAATTTTTTACTATGTAAATTTTAGTTTATTTAATTTAATTTTATCAGTGCATGTTTGTAGTATATATTTACATTCCTTTTGTGGAGTTGGTACTTGTACATAACATATTCTAATTCCCTTTTTTTTTAACATCCTTCATCCCTTTCTTCCCTCCTCCTTCACTCTCAAAGGGGAAGGGGATCCATTTTTAGAAAACACTTCCATTCTGAGCATCCGATTTTGCAAATAAGAAAACAATGTTACTAAATACACAGAATGATAACCCACTACTTTTTAAAGAAATTTATATACTCAGCCTGAAGACATGAATTGCTAGAACTTTAATTCACTTTACTCAAGTTTGTCTTAGGAATTTACAAGCACAAAAAACTAGAAATTACTGTACTCTTGAAAATATGCAGGAGCAACTATTCAAAGGGAATACTCAGTTGTCACATAGCTTATGTAATTTGTATCTGCATAAGCATGTTTTATATTAATTTATGTCAGAGAGAATATGGAGCTGAATTATTTCAAATCGCTCTTAGCTTACAGTTTATATGATAGGGCATGAAGGTGGAGTACTGCAGGAGAACAAGACTTTTATGAAGTTCATTTCCTGGTGAACACTCTTGCAATAAAACATTCTGAACCAGAGCCAGGGATTTAGCTCAGTGGTTCCGCTGCCTTGTGCCTTGTGCCTCACAAGCACAAGGACCCGAGTTTGATCCCTGGTACCAAAAAACAAAACAAAAAACAACCATTCTGAACCAAACAAGAAATGTCTTTTCTTCAACTACCATACTTTTTCTTAATGAGAATAGGCAAATATTTACTAGAACATAGTATAAGGTAGACAGTACTCTAAACAATTCACACATATGATCTCATTTGGTCCTCATAGTACCTTATAAGGTAGGATACTCTCAGTTTAAAAGTTTAATCTCTATATTAAAGATAAGGACACCGAGGCAAAGAGTTTGGTGGAATGAGAATATGTGGATGCTTTTAACCACTATGTTTACAACAGCAATACCTGAAAATACTTTTAAAACTGATGTTAGATTGGAAAATAAAATAAAACATACCATAAAATCACAAGGTTATTTAAAAAAAAAAACTATATGTTACCAATATGTTCTGTAAAGCAAGGATTGATCTAAATATAAAAGCACTAAAACAAGAAACACAAGATAGGAATCCAATCTCTAATACATTTAAAAAGGCTACATATGTATTGCTATTTGTTGTTAAGTCAGATAAAAAAGAAGCGGAATAACCAGTATTTAACCGCAGTTAGTTAAAACGGTCTTCAAAAAAAAAATACATGTTGTGTTGAGTATATAAAGCAAGAGCTACATATAGTATAAAAAGATATACTTTATAATGAAAATAGCAAGGCAGCTTCAAATTCAGAGAAAAATGTTGGTATAGGAATTTATTTCTTCTTTATTCTTTTTCAATATGAATTTTGAGATAATAACTTTCATTGTTCTCGGATAAGAAACAGTGATTGATCTTCAATTTGGTAAGCATCTGATTTTGCTTTATTGCTCTTTTTTTCTTGTAATATTTCCAAACAAAGACAAATAATTCAGGATCAAATAGTTTATAAGTGTGGGCAAATTTGATCCCGAAAGGACATCAAAAAATTGTAAACTGCAAGTTGTACGTCAGAAATGGGATTTACACCAAGAAAGCTTGAGAGATAATTACAGATATTTCACAGAAGGACAGGGGGAAATGTATCACGAAAGAGTAAGGAAAAACAAGTCTTTCTGATCAGGGTTGTAAGCTAAGGATTTAATGCTGGCAAGAAAAGAGCTTTAGGGAGAAGATGGTTCTCTAGATTCCTCAGTTGAGCTCAAAATGGGTGTGCATAAACCCAGGGGTGGAGATGGAATTCAACTGGAAAGGTCAAAATGGGCTTACTATTAGGGGAACATGCAAAATCCTCAAGGGTCACCAGCGAGAACAGGGGAGACTGTAGAGAAGCAGCAGACAAGCACTTGGTGGCCTGCAGGAGTGGGGTCTCGCTCAGGCAGAAGCCCCAGGCCAAGGGCGGGGAGAGTAGACCCTCAGGAAGAGACCTGGGCAGGGTGCAGGCGCCTGGAGGGGGCGGGGGGTCGAGAGGGAGACGGACAAGCCAGGGCCCGCGGAGACCCCACCGCTGTACAGGAGGATGGGCAAGGGAAGGCCAGGTGCACGGATGCGGAGGGGTCGAGATCTCAGGCTCAGCGGGAACGGCCTGGGGGGCTCACCCCTCCGGAACCCCCTTCTCCTCCCGCAGACCTCACGCCCCGCCCCACCCGGAGACCCGAGGCCCCCTCACCACTTCACGCACCCGTGGCCGCCTCCTCTCCCGGAGCCGCCGCGGACCCCTCCTCACCTGTGGAACCCGCCTGAAACACAACGACCTGGGCGTAGCAGACGGCGTCGCAAAGGCAATATTGCCGGAAGTCGTTCGCCGCCGCCCGGGCCCCTGACAAGCCCCTCCCTCTGCTGCACTGATTGGCCGGTGCGGAGCCGCGAGGCGTGTTGCTACCCGGTCTCCTTGGCCGCGGTGTGCGCATGCGCAGTAAACGCGGCGTTGGGGCGCCATTGGTGGGTGTCCCTGCGACCGGCCTTTCAGGGTTGGGGACTGCTAAGTTGGCCAGCGCCTGGAGGACGCGTCCGCAGCCCTGTCAACGACCAGGGTGGTGTCGGCCGCGGGACACCAGCCCAGAGCCTGCTGTCCGCTGATCCTAAATTGTAGGGCTTTCTAGGAACGCCCTAGAGGAGCTGTGTCCGTGCTTGATGGAAGGGTTTTTCAACTGGGAAGTGGGCGCGACCCCGCGCGGCTGAGCACAGCCCCTGAAGGAGGTGCGCCCCGGGTAGACTTGCGGCGGGGCGGTAGCTGCCCAACCCTGCGAGCGGGCGGGTTCCCACCTGGAGTGCCCTGAGTTCACAGGACTTGGCATTTGCAGTGCCTGGAACAGTGTCTCGTGTAGTAAGAGATGTGTACAAATGTTAATTTTAGTATTTTTCTCTTTTACGACGAGAGCTTTTATGTTTGGAACACATCAAGAAGGTATTCGTATTAAGAAAAAACATTTGTAAATTATTTCTGGTGTACTTAATAGTGTCTCTACTACAGACTTTTTTGGGTCACTTTTAATTTTAATAAAATAGATAATTTCATATTATATAGAGTGCATTCCATTTACTGTTGATAAAATTTTATAAAGATGAGTACCTGATTGGAAATTAATCCATTAAAATGTGATTTCTACAGGTACGGAGTTCATATCCATCACCCCTCATTCTTTGAAAAATGTAAAAAAATACAGAGAAATACAAAAAATAAAACAAGATATTCATATACTACCCTCCACAATTAGCCAATATCTTCATATACTTAATTGTAGTTTTGTTTTGTTTGTTGTTGTTGTTGTCTGTATTTTTGACACAGGGCCTCACTATGTAGTTGAGATTGATCTGGAACTCACTGTGTAGCCCAGGCTGGTCTCAAATTCAGAGTGATCCTCCTGCCTCAGCCTCTGGAGTGCTGGGATTACAGGTGTGCGACACCACGCCCGGCTTAACTGTAGTTTTTAAGAGAAATAGATGTTTATACAAACAGCTGAAGCCTGCACTCGTTCCTTTCCCTTTCCACTCTTCACTGGCCCCTGCTAGTAAGAGTCCAGACTCATTTGCTCACACATCAGTATCCATTACCAATATAAAGTTTTGAACTTCATGAAGCAAACTTTAATTCAAATTTACAAAACAAGTCATTATACTATGTACATCATTTTGCAATTCGATTTTTCCCTCTCAACATTGTTTAGCTTTTTCTATTAATACATGTGGATCTCATCTGTTGCATTTTTACAGATGCATGTATAGTATTCCATTGTAAGAATTTTCCATTTTGTCCTGGATGGGTATTTAAATTGCTTCCAATATCTGATTACTAAAATTCAAGACACTAATTTCCTGGTATATACATCCTGAGAATACATATAAGTAGAACTGTGTATTTTTAAAAAAATTGTTAAAGGGAGTAGTTTCCCTACTCCCAATGTGATAACCATTGTAGTATACAAGCTTTTCATATTTCTGTCAGTCCCTGTGGATTTTTACTTTTGTGCATAATTCATGGTCTATTCTTACTTCTCAGCAAGCAAATTACTTCCAAATATTTTCTAAAAGCCTTATTATTTCCTCAACCACTAATACCATCTCTTTCATGTTTCAAATTGTAATTAATATTTTGGTCTTATCTGGAATCTCTTCTGTTCTGCTAAGTCATTATTACAAAGGCTTCTTATTTGTAAATGACCATATACAGATATTCCTCGTTTAATGAGCTACTTGTTTAATGACTGTTAAAAATTACCACCAAGACACTCAGTTTGGACTTAATACCTACCTCTTAGACTTTTTTTTTGTTACCATTCTGTACATCTTGTTTATAGAGCCTCAGGTTTTTTTGTACCTTGTTCATACAGTCTTGTAATTTTTGCTGATTGTATGTAGTTTTGTGTTGTTATACATTACAGTACTGCATGTAAGAGTTATGCAAATAAGAGTCATCAAGTTGGAGTTTTCCTTTGACCATTTCTTTTTGTTCTCAATAGTGTAGTGTACATACTATAAGTGATTCTTCATTTAATGACCAGTTAATGACCTAGTCACAGGACTTCAACTCTGTCATTAAATGATGAATTTCTGCATCTGCTTTTGTCTCTAATTCTTACACCTTATTTATTTATTTATTAACTGTACTGATGAAAACCTCCAGATTTATGCTGAGAGCAACAACAGGCCTCTATTTTCTATTCCCAATTTTAGGGAAATGCATCTAAAGTTATAGTGTTACTTTTGTTGTGTTTGCGGGGGGGGGGCAGCACAGGTTTTTCATCATACCAACATCTCTGTCTTCAATAAGCATTGTTGGTGTCCTGTAAGTTTTTAAGCATTTATCGTAGTTTACCTCGCTGGTGTTGCCTTGCTTCAAAATAACTATTCTGATGCACTCTGAGATGCAAATTCTACATGCATATTTTTTTCAATTAGAACTTATTTTTAATGAGTATGAATTTTCTGGTGTGTAACAGGGTGTGACTTCTGAAAAGGCTGAAAGCTTTCCCACATTTTCTACACGAATAAGGTTTCTTACCTGTGTGTATTCTCAAACGCAGAGCTACAGCTGAGAATTGGAAGAAAGCTTTCCCATAACACAATCATAGGGTTTCTCACATGTTGGCTTCTTACTTGGACAGTGAGCAACGAGTGCTGAGAGAAGGCTTTTCCACATACTTTGCATTCATAAGCCTTATCACCTGAATAAATCCTCACAAGCACAGTGAGAGATGTTGAGAGAAGGCTTTTCTACACTCATTACATTCATAGTTTCTTTTACAGGAACTATTTGATGCTTTATAAGGTACTTCTGGACAAATGCTGTTTCATATTCATCACATTTAAAGGGTTTCTCTCCAATATAAATTTTCTCATGGTCAGTAAGATTTGATTTGCTGTTAAAGATTTTCCACACTCCTTATATACAAGGGGCTTCTCTCCCATGTGAGTTTTGTGGTGTCCGATGAGATTTGACTTCTGAATGAAAACTTTCCCATAGTCTGAACTCAAAAGGTCTCTCTCCATTTGAATTTTCTGATGAATAAGAAGGGTTTCTTTCAGGCTAAAAGATTTTCCACAAGCACTACATTCAAAAAGCTTCTCTTCAGTATGGGTGTTCTGAAGTTTAATGACAAGCTGCTTTGGCTAAAGGCTTTCCCACATGTTAAATTTAAAAGTCTCTGGCATGAAAATGCTAGGTAAAACCAGTGAAATTAAAGCAGATTTCTCAACAGAAACTTTAAAGGCCAATAGAGACTACAGTGAAGTATGTCAAAGCTTAAAAACAAACAACTTACAACACAGATTACTATATCCTGCAAAACTTTCAAAATAGATGGGGAAATAAGGACATCCCATGACAGAGAACAGCTTTACATGTACAACAAACTACAACTCTAAAAAGTATTCAAGAATATCCTAGACAGATAAAGCTACAAATTCAGATGGAATGTATACATTAAATAAATTAAATGGTTCTGTGAAGGAAAAATAAAGGCGTCATTAACTGAAAAAATAGAATAAATTAATTCCTATAAGAACAATGTAAATGGCCTCAACTCCCCCAATTAAAAGACACAGATTTGGGCTGGGGATATGGCTCAGTGGTTCTGCTACCTGAATCGCAAGCTCAAGGTCCAGAGTTTGATTCCTGGTACAAAAACAAAAAACAAAAAAAGGACAGATATGCAGAATGGATTAAAAAGCAGAATTCAAGTGTGTTGCATTGGAGAAACTCATTTAATCCAAAAAGAAATTCAGAGACTAAAAAATCAAAGAATGAAAATAATATTTTATGCACCAGCACTCTGAAAGGAAGTGGGGGTTGCAACTTTACCCTCAAAGTAAACTTCAAGCTAAAACTGATCAGAAGAGGCAAAGGTCACTACATACTAATGAAGAGAATAATTCAATAGAAAGAGGTAACACTTGTATATATACACGCACCAAATATTGAAGCACTTAACTTCATAAAATAAATACTGCTGAACACAAAAAATGAAATAAAGGGCTGGGAATTTAGCTCAGTTTTGCTGCTGCTTGCCTTGCAAGTGCACCCCCCCAAAAAAAACCAACAAAGTCATAGTGGGTCACCTGAAAGCCCCACTTTCACGTAGAACAACGAAAGAAAAAAATCAACTAAGAAATATCAGAGTTGAACCACACTTTTGAACAAATGGATTTAATAGCTATCTACAGAGTGTTCTACCCTACCATAGAAGAAAACACATTCAACTCAGCAGCACATGGAACTTTCCCAAAATAGATCACACACTAGTCCACAGAGACTAAATACATACAAAAGAATTGAATTCACCCAATGTATACTATCAGACCGTCGTGCATTAGAACTAAGAATCATATAATAAACCACAGAAGAGAGTTATTAAAATACTCCTGAGCAATCAATGGGTCACTGAAGAAATCAAGGAAGAAATTAAACAATTTCTGGAATCAAACAATACCAGAACAACAGCATCTCTGAACCTTTCCAAACTCTTTCCACAAGCTAGACCCAGAGGCTTCTGAACCACATGGTCAGGTATAGTCACAGCAATGACCCCACTTCTCTGGTACCAAGGTCTGTCAGAACGAATATTGTCAAAATGGGCATACCTCCAAAACCAATATACAGATTTAACACAATCCCAATCAAAATACCTATAGCATTCCTCAGAGAACTAGAAAAAAAAATCTTCAAATTCATGTGGAATCAGAAGAGACCAAGAACAACAAAAGCAATCCTGGGCAATAACAGCAATGTGGAGACATCAAAATCCTACATTTGAAGTTATATTCCCAAGTTACAGTGGTTAAAAACACCATGCTATTGGCAAAACAAAACAAAAAGAAAAAAAAAAAACAG